CACAGTTTTTTTTTATAAGCATTTAAGGATCGAATTTTGACAAAATTTATCAAAATCTCGAAAATTGTCAATCATTGTAATTAATAAATTATAAAATGTTCAGTTTTTATAGCTAAGGATTGCAAATTCAAAACAGAGGTTCTCATAAATAGTTCATACTGAAACCAAAAAATCTAAAAAAATACATGAACACAGTTATTTTTTACAGACATTATAAATTCAAATTTGGACGAAATTACATATTAAAAAACCTAGAATAACTATTTTAGTTATTTTGTTGTGATTGAATAATATTATTCGTGGGTACTTGAAACTTCTACTTGTATCACGGTTTTTGTTGATGTATAACGCGTTATAAGTACCTAATGGATATTGTGATATGATTAATTTGGAATTTATTATAGGTACCTATTAAAGGTCAATTTTTGTTTTATACAATAGATATGTATATAATATGTCTTATTATACCTAGACTGACATACCGTCTCCGCTCAGAATCGTTTTTCTTATACAATGATATTATATCGTTGAATTCAAATTTAATATCATCTATTATACAGTGACCCACTTGTAACCTACTGTACAAAAGAGCGACACCCACTTGCCCACCTTTTTTTTAGTTTTTTTTTCTTTGAATGTCAATAAAATGTTATTTTTTGGGTAAAAAAAGCTTGATTTAATACAAAGATCCTAATATATTGGTTCACAGACAGATTTAAAAACGATTTTGTAGTTAAACCGTATGAATTAATATTCAACTTTTATAGCTATATAAGGTTTGAAAATTTAAAACAAGGTTGCACGTAAGTATTCTGTAACCAAAAAATCTCAAAAATATAAGTTTTAATTTCATCTTTGAAAGCAAAATATTTAGATACAGTATTTCGATACATAAAAGTAAAATTTAGGAGTTTAGGGTAGGTTGGGTTAGTAACCTATTTTAATAATATTCTTATAAATTTGCTGTACATTTATGAAGAAAGTATGCATTTATGTTCTTAAAATATTATTATATGCGTTTCAAATAAAACCCATAAAATATGATAAATAAAAATAGTATTTTTTGATTCAGTGTAATATAATGAATCAAATTTATTTCTTGGTCAGCATTAAAATGAATAAATAGAAAAATGCAATTTCATAACTATTTGATCAATATAATTTATTACAATAGGAAAAAGTAATTATTATAACATTAAGTATACAGTCGGCAGATTTATCATTGAAAGTCGGCAATATTCACTCCAAACCCCCCTAAAAATAAACTCTAGGATCGCCCCTGTGTACAATATATACAATTATTAGGTACCGTCAACCCGGGTGACTTGGAACTTGGAGGTGACTTGGAACAATTGCATTATTTTTTGATAACAGCGGTTAATTTTATGCTAGATAAGGGAAATAAAATTCTGTCTCCACAAAAATATTTTTCGGAAAGTTTTGTAAAAGTTTTGTTATCATCGAAAATGTGTTATCTCTTATCAATAAGCCATGTGATACAACCATAATTTAGTAAAAAAAATCCAAATTTTCAAATCCTAATTTAAGAGCTTTGAAAGTGTAACTTGAGCTTCTAAAATCAAGGTATTGTTATTTTTTAGTGAATTCCTAATGTGTTGTTAGTGTTAATCGCTTAGTAGAATTAGGAAATAATATTGTTTACATTTTTCAGGGTTGTTTTTATTTTAGGTAAAAAAAAAGTGGGTCACTTGGAACTATTATAAATGTATACCTGGCAGTCGTACGTACCGAAATTTACGGTATTAAATTTCGGTAATTACACCGGAAAAATATGGTTTTTAACAATTTTTTTTTTTTTAAAAATATTTGTAGCGTTCCAAGTGACCTTCCCACATATGATTAAATGCAATCTGCATTTGAAAAAACGCATGTTCCAAGTCACCAAAAAATCCGGGTGACTTGGAACAAGCACTTTTTATTTTTTTTTTACCTTAATTTACTTAAGACCTTAATTTTTTTTTGCTCAATCTATTCCTTGGAGGTGTGCGACACTGCATGATTTTTTACAGAATTTAATTATCAATAATGAATGAGTTACAGTAGTTAAAAGGTGAAAATCGTTCCAAGTCACCCGGGTTGACGGTACCTAAACTTAGACCGAGGTTCCTATATAACCACGATTACCATGGTAACCATGGTTCCTGTGTAACCACGGTTACCATGGTAACATCGATAAATATTTAACCACGATTCCTATGTAACCATGGTTGAAACCTAAAAATTTGACTCTTTTTGAGCCGTTTGTGACGTCAAAATATGCTGTCTCCTTTTATAAACCTAAGAAACATTTATCAAAATTCTTTAATGAGCTATCGTTGTGAATAGTATTCAAATTTTTAGGATCCAACAGTGGTAACCAGGGCCGTATTTAAGGGGGGCAAAGGGGACATTTTTCCCGGGTGGTCAATTTTTGAAACAATATAGAGGGGTGGCCAAAAGCCAGTGTATATTATATAAATAATATATTTTTTTTTCTGGTAAGAATTTGTTTGAGTTTACTTGGATTTTTTGCATTGCATGACCAAACGGCCATTTGGCGTCATTTACTCATTTTATCAATCAATGATAACAATAATTTTTGTAGTTTTTTTATAGACAACATTTGGATGTTTTCATACATTTTGACAGTAATTAAAATAATATATCACCATGATCTGTGTTCTTAACTACATTTTAATAATTTAAGAACTACTACTAAACAATTAAAAAAGTGGGTAAGTGGATGTCGCTATGCTATAGAGTAGGTTACAAGTTAATCACTATAATGGATGGTGTTAAATTTGAATTCAATGATATAATATAATTGTATAAGAAAAACGATTCTGAGCGAAAATGGACAGTCAGCCTATGATATAACTAAATACTTAATGCTTTCTACTTTAACTTTATAACAATTGTATATCAGGAGCCTTGCGTTAAATTTTCACGCTATTTTACCCAGCAATAACAATTTCATTGATATTTATAGAAAAAAAAACTATAAAAATTGAAAACTGAAAATGTCCGCAAACAGCCCCAAAAAAAAATCAAAATATTTTCAAAATGTTATGGTGTATAGACAATTAAAATATAAACATTCAATACAATTTTCATCTATCTACAGTTATTCGTTTTTGAATAACAATAAAATAATAAAACTGCTACATGAGAAAACGAGTGAATATCCTGTATTGTAAAAATGTGGATTTCAAAGTCTTATAAAAATTTAATTTGATTTTGAAAACTATATTAAATTTTGACCTCCCCAATGCATCAACAATATTCACTTTCCCAACGAACATGATACTGAAGTATAAAATCGAAGAATATTTATCGTGTACACAGACACAAAAATAAAAAATAAAAAAACACACATCATTGTAATATAAATACATTCATCGTTCCACTCAGAATCTAAAAGAGATTTTTTTTGGGGGGGGGGGGGGCGTCGTACAAGTATTGTTGCCCCTGGCGTAAAAAGTGTAAATACGGCCCTGGTGGTTACATAGGAACCGTGGTTATCTAGGAACCGTAGTTACATACTGTCGTATATTGTAGACAGTCGTCTCGTTAATATACTTAATGTACACATAATATAGGTAGGAAATAATTTAGCAATTTTGATATTAACATAGGTCAGGCCAATGAAGCAAGATGTGCTGAGGCAGCAACAATATTTAATTTTATAACACAGCCGCACACGCAGGCACGGTCAGTTGTCGCTGAGTGATTCGGCGAGAACGTAGGTACGACCATGACAAAGAAAAGAGGTACGCAACTTTCCGAATTTGAATCATGTTGGCGAATCCCCACTATTTCCTATGTGTTTCCTATGGCGTTGGCAGCCATATTGCTTTTCTCCGTCAATTTTATTATCAGTGTCTATGTTTTAAACATTGCGGAGAAAAGCAATATGGCGGATATGCGTATCACAAAGTTTATGACATAACTCTTTTCTTTATCATGGGTACGACGACTGCGCGTGTGAAGAGGCAGTAATAGTGAGGACAGCGTATTTTTAAAATATGTGAATTATTTTTGATTGTTTCAACTTAATAAAAGTGTTTCTGACCTAAAAACCCGAGTTGAATATTATTTAAAATTCTTCTTAGTTCTTACCTTTAGACACACATACCTATAGTCAATGAGGTTTATTGCAAACTGAACAGTACTCTGGTTGTCAGGTAATAATAGTCATTTCAATTTAGGAAACGGACGTAGAATCGACAAACCCATACCATCGTGCCTCAAAGGTAAACAGTGCTAAGCTGAATTTATTCTAGAGATAGTCATTAGCTTAAAGTGTACGAAGGTAAGGCATAAAGTAGGTTTTATTGTGTGTCATTCTCGATACCGGTGATATCACAGAGTGGCGCCCAACTGGGTTACTTATCTACAGTCAGAGACATTTTTTTGATTATGTGCCCTGGTACTTCAACCTTGGCACGTTTTAATTTTTCGGAGTGTTAATGTACCAGGAAGTACAACAGTTTTAACGTGTCGTCTGGAAAAAATTCCTTTGGCACACCAATTTTTTGTTGTGTACAAGTGAGAAGTGCGACGTGAACAAGTGGTCAATTACGCTCTGTGTTCGCTTCTTGTTTCCTTTGGAAATAGTTAACCGTTTTTTACGTTTTTAAGCTTGTTAAGTTTATAAAAAGTGCGCGAATGACTGGTGTCGTTGTTGAGTCAGTCTTCCTAATATTTCTTCACTTAATGTTAGTTTTTTAATTCTGTTATACTACGTGAACGTGAAAAGGTAAAACCAAATAAATTCACTTTATCAGTTAATTACGGCTTATCGACTAACGATAAGTTGCGGCGTCCCGCGTCTCAGTTTTCCTTGATTAGAACACGGCACGTGTCAAGGCCAACACTTATAGCTGCTTTTAGCGTCGGGTATAATTTAATTGGCCTATCTACATTTTCAAAGGCATCTTGTTTTATTTTAATTAATTTTGATTATTTGCCTATTAGTTAAACTATTAGTCGTTAACGCAATGGCCCAAAGTAATGATCTACTTTCTACTGAGCTGAATAAGTGGACAAAAAGCGTGATCGTTGACTTCATTATTACTCAATCACTACCTACTGGGGTGAAATTGAGTGAGGAATTGTCAACATTCTTAAAAGGATCTTCTGAGAACTCATTAAATGTGGCCACTATTCTTCAATCTGTTGTCGATGAGCTCAAATCTGTAGCACTTAGTAACTCTAAGTTACATGATAAGCTAAACCGTCTCAATACGACTGCTAAGGTTTCCACTTCTCCTAATTTAAATACTGGTTCAAACAATCAACCAACTACTTTACTCTCCAAGCTGAATGCGGTTACTCATTCTAGACAGCCTGCAATCCAATCGACTGCTAGTTTATCCTCGTCCATAAAATCAAAATTTATCGTTGGCTCTCATAAAAGTGTATCCTCCAAGTTGTCTTCAGTGCCAGTGCGGAGGCATATTGATATCTTTGTCTCAAGACTTGAGCCATGTGTAACGACCGCTATGCTTGAATCTGAATTGTTCAATAGCTACTCAGATGTGACCATAAATAAATTAGTGACATAACACCCATCATATTATTCATTTCATGTGCGCCTGCCTGCGGAGAAGCTTGATGAAGTCCTCGAACCTACATTCTGGCCTGATGGCGTAATGGTCAAACGCTTTTGGGGTCGTCTTACGCCCGAGATGATTCTAAGCAACACTCCAAAAAACTAATTTCTTCTTGTACGCCTATCTGTGATCCTCCTGTTGATATACACTCTTATAATTATAATAGTAAGGATTATTGTTTATGTAGTGATTTATGTACTTGTAACCATATTCTCTTAGGTTTTTATCAAAATTGCCGCGGGTTAAGAACCAAACTAAGTAATTTAAAATGTAATGTCGCTGTTTTTGATTATGTTTTTATCTATTTCACTGAAACATGGCTATGTGGCAGCTTCTATGATAGTGAGCTTGGTCTATCCAACTACATCATTTATAGATGTGATAGAAATAGTTTAACAAGTAATTTTTCTAGGGGTGGAGGCGCTCTCATTGCCATTCGTAGTGACATAGTATCTAATTTAATTTACACTCCAGCTACCAATGTTGAACATCTATTTGTTAAACTTAGTTATAATAACATCAACTATGTAGTGTGCTCAGTGTACTTTCCTCCTAAATGCCCGCTTTCTGCTTATGAGTCTTTTATTTCCGCTGTACAATCTGTTCTTCTCCTTCATCCAGAATGTGTTTTCTTTTTTTGTGGTGACTTCAATTTGCCAGATATTATATGGTCCAACGATGATTTTGGTTTACTTTACAATACGGTTTCTAATCCCAGAGTTCAATGTATCCCTGATGCATTTGCGTTCTTTAACTTTTTCCAACTTAATGATATTCAAAACTCTTTTGGTGTTGTCTTGGACCTTGTGTTCTCCAATGATAACAGAATCTATATCTCTAAAGCCGTAACTCCAGCAGTACCTTGTGATCCCTACCACCCGGCTCTTGATATTATGATAAAGTTGGATAAACTCTCCCCTTTACTTGATCGTTCCCATAATTATTATGACTTCCGCCGTGCTCCCTATTCAAAAATATGCGAATTCTTAAATTCATTTAATTGGTTGGAGACCATAATATCTCTCGACGTTGATGAAGCGGCTAAGGCAATTTATGACGCCTTGCACTTTTGCATTTTAAACTTTGTTCCGGAAGTGTCTTATATACCTTCGACATTCCCGAAATGGTTTTCAAAAAATATTAAGCATATTGTTTTAAGCAAGAAAAGGGCACATGCCAAGTTTAAAGCTTCACGCTGTCCCCTTGATTATGCGGAATTTTCCGCACTTCGTGCCTCTTACAAGGCTGAATACAAGAGATGTCATACTGTCTACCTGTCTCGCACTGAGTCTATGCTTAAATCTAACCCCAGGTCGTTTTGGGACTTTGTCCGAGTTAATAAATCTAGCAACGAAATTCCCCACTCAGTACATTTTGAGAATTTACAAAGCTCGGGTTCAGAGTCTGTCTCTAACTTATTTTCCCATTACTTCAATACAGTCTATGTCCCTCCTTTGTCTAATGACCATTCGTCTCCTTTTTTGTTCCATGACCTACCTAGCACTTGTTCATTCGACATCGATGATGTTGACGCTGGTCTAGACGCACTAAAAAATTTTAAGTCCGTAGGCCCCGACGGCTTGTCAGGTATATTCTTATACAATGTGAAATCTTCATTATGTTTTCCACTGTGGCTACTTTTTAAGCGTTCAATCGAAAGCGGAGTTTTTCCTTCTTCTTTCAAGATTAGCTCTGTCACTCCTATTTTTAAATCTGGTGATAAAGCTGATGTCAAAAATTATAGACCTGTCTCTATTTTGAGCCACATATCCAAACTGTTTAAACTTCTAGTATTGAGAAGTATTCAATCACCAATTAACTCTATTCTAATCGACGAGCAACATGGGTTTAGGCCTGGTCGCTCGACCACTACTAATTTACTCGTTTTTAACAATTTTGTTATGAAGGCTGTCGAGAAGCACATCCAAGTTGATGTTATTTTCACAGACTTTACTAAAGCCTTCGATAGAGTCGACCATGGCCGCCTAATCGAGACCCTATACAAAACTGGGTTCGGTGAACCATTGTTGTCTTGGTTCAAATTTTATTTGTCAGACAGAGTCCAATGGGTAAAAGTGTTCGGATTCAAATCATCCATCTCAGAGGTCTCTTCTGGAGTTCCCCAAGGAGGACATTTATCTCCAATATTGTTTTCTTTGTATGTAAATGGCATCAAGGAAATTGTCAAAAACTGTGAACTTCTCATGTTCGCCGACGACTTGAAGCTCTTTAGGAAGATTGATAACTTATCTGACTGCTCTACGCTCCAGAATGATCTCAAAAACCTGGTCTCCTGGTTTAATAATATTGGTCTTCAGTTTAATGTAAATAAATGTCATTCCATGTCATTTTTAAGACACCACTCCCCTATTAACTATACTTACTCCATCAATGGTTCAAGTGTAACATCGGTTTGTAGTAAGAAAGAGCTAGGTGTTATCTTTAATTCCGATCTCAATTTTCACTCCCACACCGAAATGATATGCTGCAAAGCCTTAAAAACGCTTGGGTTTGTAATGCGCATATCAAAGGAGTTCAATCTATCTTCTACATTAAAAACTTTATACTGCTCATTGGTCCGTTCACTTTTAGAGTATGCATCGGTCCTATGGGACCCTTATACGGTATCTGACTCATGTCAATTAGAACGTGTTCAGAGACGGTTCTTATCTTACGCAGCTTTTGTCTTAAAAATAAATCATCCTCCCCATGACTATTTCTTAGTTATGCAGGAACTCAGCCTCATTTCACTGGCCGACAGGCGAGTTAAAGCTAACATAGAGTTTCTGAATAAACTGGTTGATGGTCGTATAGATGCTCCCTCACTTCTCTCGATAGTCAATTTCAGAGTTCCTTCCCGTGCTACTAGATACCATGCTCCCTTCGTTGTTCCTGCGCACACTACCAATTATGGCAGAAATAATCCGTTAGACCGCATCATGCGGCTGGCCAATGAGAGCACTGTTTATCAAAACTGATACATTTATTATTATATATTTTTATATTTGTTTTATTATCATTATTATCATTATTATTCTGTAATTATTATCTTATATAAATTTAATTATGTCATTGTATGAATTATTTTAAATTATGTATTATTGTATTATGTTAAACTGTTGAATAGGGCCCAGCCCGTTAACAAATAAATAAATAAATAAATATAAATATAAAAGATTTATGTTAAAAAAAAAAAAAAAAAAAAAAAGTGAAGTACGACAAATGTGTACGTTTCGGGTAATAAAACCCGGTGCAAGTTTAGTGTTTTTTTTTTACCAGTTGAAATAAAATATACTTTTTGTGTGTTTTGGGTACAGTAGAAAACTCAGAACTCAATTTTGTGTTTTTGTATACGAGTGAGTAACACATACGCGTTCGATTTTTGTCTGACCGACAAGACAACGTTTGTGCCGCTTGAGTACAATTTTTCTAAGCATGTTTCTAAACATATACGCTAAGGTGAGCAACGTTTTGTAAAATACTTACATATTAATATAAGGTTTTTTTTAGTTTCATAATTTTTCAAAATGTTTATTTAATTTTAAATAACCTAACTAGATGGTTACAATGGAAATCACGGTTTATAAATAAACAGCGGCGCAACAGTGTATTATAATTTATATTGGTTGCTATTTGTTAATCGGGCATCTTTGTTGATTTGTATTTTGTTTTTTGTCAATATAATATATATAAATAAATGAATGTTTGTGTGTAGATTATATCTCTGGGAAGAAGACAGGCTAATTTAAAAATGGTTAAATTTGTTTTTTTTATGCATCTGATAGTACGGTTAGGATTTTGTATTAACTGATTATATTAATCCACCATAATATGTGGAATACAACAAACTTGGTATAACTCTGATACTTTAGAGTTAAATCATACATTTACGTACAAACATTAAGGGGTCCGCGATCTACCACAGGTAGATTGATTGCCTGATAATATACTGCTGCGAATCAGAATTATTATTATTATACCGGGCAACGGAAAAGTTAAATTTGGTACTTTTTATTCATCAGATTTTTGAGGGCACACCAATAATTGAAATATTAAAATAATATTTTTATTTATAATATATATTTTGTATTACATATTAATACATTTTTTCTTATTGTATGCATATGTATAATATAGATAGTGAGTATATTTAAAAAACACGGGGCATTCCTAAGGAATTCCCATGGTTAATCGGCTATAAATCAGGAAAGGTGACGGAACAACTTGGCGAAATTTTCGGAACAAACAAGAACAAACGAAGAACAATTTATAATTTAAATTATTTTTACCTAGATAAACAATTTCCAAAATATTATCTGATAAAACAAATAAATAAAAATATAGTCGTTTAAAAAAAGAAGTTTTAATCCGTAAAGGACACTTATTAAATGGTATAATAAGATTTATTAAATAGTTTTTAATAGTTTTTAATGTATGGTTTCATTGCAACCATCCTTATCTCTTAAGAGTTTATTAATTTTATAATTAAACAAGTGGACTGTTATATTTTTTGAAATTTTTCAGAAGACTATTAAAATTATTTGAAGGCTCAGGTCCATATTTAAGGGGTGGTTCGTGAGGCCAATTGTAGCCCACTTTTGCTTGTGTTAGGCGGCCCCAATGTGTTTACAGCGATTATGAAAAGTAAAATAATGTTTTTAAATACGCAATCAAAAATTATAAATTAATAATAAACATTCAAATGAATTGAATAATAACTAAAAATATTGGTTCCCAATCAACAAATTCTGAACATTTTTTGGGCGAAGTGAAAATATTGTTTTGTGTTTTTACTTGATCTCGTTTTTTTTTTTAATTGGATACCGCAAATCCCTATAACTGACTTGTGGTTTATCACTTTTATTACATATTATGATTAATACGCTGTATAAATATAAACATTTTAGATTCTCAGCGGAGCGAGGGATCTAGTGGTTTTACAATGGTGTTTA